ACACATAATAGTGAAGCTCCAAGAATCCAAGACAAGGAAAAAATAATGAAGCTGACAAGAGGGAAGAAACAGATAACATTCAAAGGAAAACCAATCAGACTGACATCAGACTTCTCCGAAGAAACACTACGGGCAAGGAGAGAGTGGAGGGACATAGTCAACAGACTCCAAGAAAACAAATGCCAATCAAGAATACTCTATCCTGCAAAGCTCTCCTTCCTCTATGAAGAAAGAATAAGGACCTTCGCAGAAACACAGAAACTCTGGAATTTCATTACGACTAAACCACCACTCCAAAAAATACTACAAGGAGTCCTAAAGCCAGAACCTCAGAGGGAAGAAAAACATTACACTAATACCAAAACCGAACAAAGACAACACAACAAAAGAAAACTACAGGCCAATCTCCCTAATGAACACTGATGCCAAAATCCTCAACAAAATCCTTGCCAATGGAATCCAACAACGTATCTATAAGGTAATTCACCACGACCAAGTAGGATTCATTCCAGGGACACAAGGATGGTTCAAATCTGAAAATCAATCAACGTCATCCAACACATCAACAAAAAGAAATATAAAAACCATATGATAATATCAATAGATGCTGAGAAAGCTTTCGGGCAAAGTGCAACACCCATTCAAGATAAAAGCCCTTGAAATTCTTGGGATACAAGGAACATACCTCAACATCATAAAGGCCATATCATTCTCAATGGTGAAAAGCTGAAAGCATTTCCATTAAGATCTGAAACAAGACAAAGATGTCCACTCTCACCACTGCTTTTCAATATAATACTGGATGTCCTAGCCAGAGCAATAAGACAAGAGAAAGCTATACAAGAATCCAAATAGGAAAAGAAGAAGTCTATCACTATTTGCAGATGATATGATAATATACATGGAGAACCCCAAAAACTCCACAGAAAACCAAATTCGACTAATCAATCCATTCAGTAAAGTGGCAGGATACAAAATCAACACGCAAAAATCAGTAGCCTTCCTATACACAAACACTAAATCTGAAGTAGAAGAAATCAAAAAAACCATCCCTTTTATTATCAAAACAAAAAAAAATCGGGCCTCCCTGGTGGTGCAGCGGTTGAGCGCCGGGTTGTGAAGCTGCCCACAGCCTCTGCAGCGCTGGTTTGATCCCCGGCTGCTCCCCGGCCACCAGAGGAGGGTCCCACATGGCGCACAGACCTCTCCTGCTGCCCGCTGCTCCCCTCAGCAGTGTACTTTGGTCCTTCTGCCTGCTCTGCTCCCCGCTCTGGCTCTGGTGAATTCTCTCACCCTCCATCACTTCTCACTGTACCCAGTACCTGTATAAATAAATAAATCAATCTTAATAACCAAAACCAAAACCAAAACAAAACAAAAAAAATTATTAAAAAAAAATCAAATCCTTGGGAATAAATCTCTCAAAAGAGGTAAAGGACCTATACAAAGAAAACTGTAAAACACTGTTAAAAGAAATAGAAGAAGACACAAAGAAATGGAAAGACATCCACTGCTCATGGATTGGAAGAATAAACATTATTAAAATGGCCATCCTACCAAAAGCAATATACAGATTCAATGCTATTCCAATAAAAATTCAATGTCATTCTTCAAAGAACTAGAACAATTATTGATGAAATTCATATGGACTCACCAAAAACCCTGAATAACCAAAACCCTCCTGGAAAAAAAAAAAAAAGAAGGGAATGGAGGCATCACACTCCCAGACTTCAAACGATACTACAAAGCCATAATCATCAAAACTGTATGGTATTGTAACAAGAACAGACACACAGACCAATGGAATTGAATAGAAAATCCAGAAATAAACCCACAGATTTATGGTCAACTAATCTTTGACAAAGGAGCAAAGATATGCATTGGAGCAAAGAAAGTTTGTTCAATAAATGGTGCTGGGAAAACTGGGTCGCTACATGCAAAAGAATGAAGCTTGACTACTACCTAACACCATGCACAAAAACCAACTCAAAATGGATTAAAAAGTAGACAAAGACCTGAAACCATAAAATATATAGAAGGAAATATTAGCGAAACACTACGTGACATGCACCTCAAAGACATCTTTACAGACACATCACCCAAAGCAGTGATAGTGAAGGTAAAGATAAACAGCTGGGACTACATCAAACTAAAGAGCATCTGCACAGCGAAAGAGACAATAACCAAAATAAAGAGAAACCCCACCGACTGGGAGAACATTTTTGCACACAACACTAATGATAAAGGACTGATCACAAAAATCTACAAAGAGCTGATGAGACTCAACAAAAGCAAAGAAAATAATCCAGTCAAAAATGGGCAGAAGAGCTAAAAAGAAACTTCTCTGAAGAGGAAATGCAAATGGCCAACAGGCATATGAAAAAATGTTCAACATCACTTGTAATCACGGAAATGCAGATCAAAACTACAATGAGATGCCATCTCACACCAGTGAGAATGGCACATATTAAAAAACTAGCAACAACAAATGTTGGCAAGGTTGTGGAGAAAAAGGAACTCTCCTGCACTGTTGGTGGGAGTGCAAACTGGTCCAACCACTATGGAGAGCTGTGTGGAGATTTCTTGACCTCTTAAACATAGAGTTTCCTTATGATCCAGCAATTCCACTCCTAGGTATTTACCCAAAGGACACAGAAACATCAGTTCCAAAGAGCACCTGCACCCCTATGTTTATAGCAGCACTGTTTATAATAGCTAAGCTTTGGAAACAACCCAAATGCCCAAAAATAGATGACTGGATCAAGAAGATGTTGTACATATACACAATGGAATATTACTCAGCATTCAAAAAAGATAAACACTGCAATTTGCAGCAACATGGATGGAGCTGGAAGGGATCATGCTCAGCGAAATAAGCCAGAAAGAAAAAAAGAAAAATACCAGATGGTCTCACTCATAGCAGGAATCTAGAAAACTTAAATAAGGGACCAGGATAAAGAATAACTATAAGAAAGAAAATATCAAAATCAACAAACAACTATGAACCAGAGACACTCTATGGGGGGTGGGCGGCGGGGAAAGGAGGGATTGGGGTCAAAATAAGGGGTTGTAATTGTATGGGGAATGTAAAAATAAAATTTAAATAAAATGTGAAAAAAAATAAAATCAGTCATAGAAACTTAAAACAAAAACAAAAGAAAAGCTTACAGACATTAGTACATCGATTTGTTACCCTGAATATAAAGATTTTCCTCATTCATCATCCATGTAGAAGCTATTAACAAATCTGATGGAGGAGATATTTTCTACACTCCTGTGTAATTTACACATGGAGAATGGGGAACCAGTGGTATAGTAGTACACAAATTAAGTCAGCTGGCATCACATTAGAAAGCGGATAAGGAAAATATTCTACCTGATCAGATTTAAGATTCAAACATGACAGAACTGTGTACAAGACCAAGTCAGTAACTTTAGGACACTACAGATTATAATGGAGTAACAGGTTTGGGAGGCTGTAGTGCGGAGTACAATAAAATGGCAAGGAAGCGCTAACTATATAGAAAGGCTGGAATGAGGGATTTTCACCAAAGGAAGTTATATTCTTCACAACTTCCAAACAGAACAGTTTATGACAATAAACTGTAGACATGTTATGCCAGTTTTTGTGTGGCAGCTAAAGTTAGAATTTCTTCCCTGGTGCATATGCATCATTAGTAGTCACAGTAAAGTTATTTTTGCATTTGCTGAAATTCAGGTATGTTTTAGGTGGAGTATTAATTTTACATCCTGCAAAAACATGAAGGCAATGTTCATTCTGTGCCAGAGGATGACCTACGACCTTGTTTATAAATTGCTCTAGCCCCTCCCTACTGCCTTCAATACTGATCTACTGAAACACACTGGTGAGGGGAGCAATGGGCCTAACACCGGGGATTGAAATCAGCCACCAGGGAGGCCCTCTTTTCAGTCCTTTAATGCTTGGAATGTTACTGCTGACATCCAATGACTGCTAACCTCCTATGTTACCCTCTTTCTCTTCAAGTTTTTAATATTTTGTCTTTGTCATTGGTTCTCAACAGGTTATTATTAAGCGTCTTGGTGGATGTAGGACTGGTATTATTTTGTTTGTAGTTCTTTGGCCTCTTGGATTACAGTATCTGGTTCATTTCACAGGTTGAGGTGGTATTTTTGAGATTACTTCTTTAAGTAAATTTTCTATGCCTTTCTGAAATGCGGCCATTGTAACAAATAGAGAGAAACCTTAAAGGATTTAATGCAGCAAAGAAAGTCAAAGTGATAAAAACAAATACTGGGCATTTACAAAGCAGACAATTTGACAGCATAAAATACTCAAAAATCAGTGACATTGATAAACATTCTGAGGGCTCTGAAGGATGGGGCAGGGAAAGGGACAAGGCGACATGTGCAATGGTGGTAGGGGAATTAAAAAAGGAAAAAAGTCACTTTTTTAAATGACAGAAAAATAAAGATGTATAATTATATATTTTAAATGAGAATTAATAAGCTAGCCTGTATGACTGTACCATATGTAAATATTATAGGTAACTAGTTAAAGAAATAGCTATTAATATGGGAAATGCGTTGGACATAAACTCATGAACTTCAATTGTCATGTTGGATTGCTTCTCCTAAAACAAATAAAAAAATGGTCTAACTACATAATTATTTCTCTGTAATTGAGGGTATTGTTACATACACTGTATGTGATTCAGAGGTATAGCATCTCAGCTGCTCAGATGCCTGTCCTCACACATTCTGTGATATTGTTTGAACATTTCATCATTTCTCTTTGTATATCATGTATGCTAATTATTAGGTACTTATATACACATTAATCCTAGCTTATGTGAGAGTTGTGTGTGTGTGTGTGTGTATATATATATATATATATATATATATGATGCAATTACCTCTTGAGGTGTATTTCTTGGTACATGTTGATGCTAATTATGGTGTCGGGGGACTGATATAATAGGTGTTCTCTTTTCTCATCAGTCTTACTTGTGTTTTGTCAGCTAAGGCGCAAGAGGAGATAGAACAAGTGATTGGCAGGCACCGGAGCCCCAGCATGCAGGACAAGAGCCACATGCCCTACATGGAAGCCTTGGTGAACGAGGTCCAGAGATACACTGACCTGTTGCCCGGGAACCTGCCCCATGCAGTGAACCTTGACACCAGATTCAGGAACTATCTCATCCCCAAGGTAGGTTGGTTGTACCTTTACTGACATCATGATTCTACTCAAAAGTTCCTCTTTTCACAGCATGGGTCCAGTCCTCCAGACAAGCTGAGCAAATTATAAAAATCATGTATGTGACAAGTTGATGAGTTTGGTGTTGTTTCCATTTGAGACCATGAAGTTTGATATTAGTTTTTGGGCACCGGCACTGTAAGTCTTTCACATTAGTTCTGTCTCTTTAATGAGTGGCTACTCTTACTATTTATATTACCAAATAATGTTAGCACTACTGAGTCAATATTCCAAAAGAGAGTTCTGGATTATATTAGATCAATTCAGAAAGAGTTAACATCTTGATATATTGAATTTTTCTTTAATATTCTCTTTTTTTTTTTAGTACATTAGCTTGCAAATTTTGTGTTTGATTTTTCCTAAGTGCTTAATGTTATTGTTGTCAAAATAATCTTTAAGTGCCTTTTACATTACTTTTATCTGTCATATTGAAGTAAAATCACTTTCAAACTTTGATGACCTTACATGGAGAAACTTTTTATTTTTTTAAAGATTTATTTATTTATGCATACAAGAACTAGGGTATAGGACAGAGGTGCAGGGGGTGAGAAGATTCACCAGAGACAGAGTGGGGAGCAGAACAGGCGGATTGACTGAAATACACTGCTGAGGGGAGCAGCAGGCGAGACAGGAGAGGTCTGCTGGCCAGGGATCAAACTCATGCTGCAGAACTCGTGCTGCAGTAGCTGCGGATTGCTTCATTGTGCTGACACTTAACTACTTGCGCCACCAGGGAGGCCCAAGAACCTTTTGACTTTAGAGCCATTACTAATAATTTGTTTCTAGACTACTTTGTAATTTCTGCATATATCATGCTTCTATCTTTATTTCTTTTCTGATATGTAAGAGAGTGGAAGATTATCATCTCACTCTTGGAAAGATGGTCTTATGTATATCTTAGAAGAAACCCTTCATCAGATTAGGAACTGTATCCTCTTATTTTTTTATCATTTTTTGTCAGAATGTATATCAAGTTTATCATATCAATTTCTGTCTCTATTGGTATAGCTTTCCATATTAGTTTCACTTTTCCTGGTAGATATCCCTCTGTTAAGTATACACATGGCTTGATTTGTGTTGCTGTATTTTGTTCAGGACTTTCCTATTTCCATTTGTAAGAGACTTCCTTGGGATGGTGGTCTACTTTCATTATTTTGCAGGGTGCTGTGCAGTGTTCCCAGGATTATTTATTTACTGGAGAAATTTTGCTTGTTCTGTCATTTACTATTGGCTCCTTGGTCTTGATTAATTCTCCCTATGTGTTGGGGTGTATTTCAGGACTCTCAGTTTTCTCCCATTGGTCTGTGTGTTTTTGTTCCATCCAGTGCTTTCTAACACGTAATTTCTGTGTCTATTCACGCCTCCCACTTGGTATTCTGCAAGCTACTGTTTAATTTGAAACCAGGATATTTGCTATTAAAATTTAAAAATCAGATAAATTGTAATTAGTATTTTGTTGGGGAAAGAATATAATAAGATGCAAGACTAATGCTCATCTTTGGAGAAGAGGGAATTAATGGCTTTGCTAGGAGTCATGGGGCTTGCCTGATAATTGCAGCTTTGTTTCAAGGATTAGGATCACATTCACTGTTTTCACCAAAGGACATAATGAGGAAAATGCTTCCTGTGTTTATAGTTGGGTCAAAGAGTAATTGAACTCATTCTCCTATTTCAAGTTCAATAATAATAGGGCCTGGGGGTAAGTAGGATTGTCCATCTTTCCCATTTGCTCTCATTGGGTATGATCATTCCCTACTGCTTGGGAAACACTGACATAGAGGCTGCAGATTTCTTCTTATTGTGATGCTTAACCCCTTGCGCCACCAGGGAGGCCCCGTACTGCATATTTTTATATTCCTACATTATTCATTTTCTTACTATATTTGATTTCTCAGCTCAGGTCTAGTCCCCATACATCTCCCACCACCACACCACCCATGAACCATCACTACAGTCCCTTGTGCGCTCCCCTCCCCTTATCTGAGCCATCTCTCTCCCCCTACCTTGCTGCATCCCTAGATCTATAGTTTGCCTGCAAATTTTCCCTTTCTCTTTTTTTTTTGACCCTTAGTTTGGTTTCCCTATATTCTTCCTGTAAATTGAAAACATCTGATATTTTTCTTTTTCCTTCTTACTCATTTCACTGAGTATAATCCCTCCTTGTGCCATCCTTGTTGCTGTGAATGGCATGAGTTTATCATTTTTGATTACTGAAAAGTATTCCATTGTATATACAGACCACATCTTGTTAATCCAGGAATCTGTTTGGGGCATTTAGGTTGTTTCCATATCTTACCTATTATAAATAATGCTGCAATAAACATAGGAATGCAGGGTTCCTTTTCAGTTAATGTTTAATGTTTTTGCGTCCTTTGGTTAGATTCCTAGCAGTGGAATCTCTGGGTCATATGGTAGATTGATTTTCAGTCATTTGAGGAGCCTTCACAGTTTTCTATAGTGGTTAGACTAGTTTACATTTGCGCCAGCAGTGTAAGAGGGTTGCTTTTTGCCACATCCTTGCCAGCATTTGTTGTTGCCAGTTTTTTTAATATAGGTCTTTGTCACTGGTGTGAGGTGGTATTTCATTGTGGTTTTGATTTGCATTTTCCTGATTATAAGTAATGTTGAGCATGTTTTCATGTATCTTTTGGCATTTGCATTTCTGCTTTGGAGATCTGCCTTTTTAGTTGCCAAGCCGATTTTTCTTTCTTTCTTTATTTTTTATGTGAAACATCCCAATTTTTATTTTAATAATTTATTTTTTATATATTTTTTACATCTTTTTCATTTTTGCAAAGTATGCAATATGCATTTTCATCATGTTTATAGTCTCCATACAGTTCCCGCCCACCTATTTTGACCATAATCCTTCCTACCACCCCTCTCCCCCCACATAGTGTGTCTCTGGTTGTAGTTGCTTGTTGATTTGGATTTTTTTCTTTATTATGATTAGTCTTTTTCCTGGTCCCTTATTTAGGTTTTCTAAATTCCTGCTATGAGTGAGACCATCCGGTAGTTTTCTTTTTCTTTCTGGCTTATTTTGCTGAGCATGATCCCTTCCAGCTCCATCCATGTCGCTGCAAATTGCATGCGTTTATCTTTTTTGATTGCTGTAGTCCATTGTGCATATGTACGACGTCTCCTTGATCTAGTCATCTATTTTTGGGCATTTGGGTTGTTTCCATAGCTTAGCTATTGTAAATAGTGCTGCAATAAACATAGGGGTGCAGGTGCCCTTTTGAATGAAAGATTCTGTGTCCTTTAGGTAAATACCTAGAAGTGGAATTGCTGGATCATATGGAAGCTCCATCTTTAGCAGGTTGAGGAATCTCCACACAGCTCTCCATACTGGTTGGACCATTTTGCACTCCCACCAACAGTGCAGGAGTGTTCCTTTTTCTCCGCACCCTCACCAACATTTTTTAACTAAGTTGTTTGCTTTGTTTTCCTGAGTTTTGTAAGCTCTTTGTAGATCTTTGATTTAAGTCCTTTATCGATTGTGTGGAGTACAGATATTTTGTACCAATCTGTGGATTGTCTTTTTGTTTTGATATTGTCTCTTTTGCTGTGCAGAAGTTTTTAATTTGTAGTAGTCCTAGCTGTTTATCTTTTCCTTCATTTTCTGTGCTTCTGGGATGAGTTCTGAAAGATGTTTCTGAGATGTATGTTGTGGAGTATTGTGCCTATGTGTTTTATTCCATATGTTTTCTGGTTTCAGGTCTTACATTAAAGCCTTTTTTATAAAGAATTATTCCTTTATTGTAAGATTTTTATTTATTATATTTATTATGTGTAGAAGAACTGGGCTGTAGGCGAGAGGTTCGGTGGGGAGGGTGAGAGGATTCACCAGAAAGAGTGGCGAACAGAAAAGGGAGATCTACTAAGGGGAGCACTGGGTAAAACAGGAGATTTCTGCTGCCCCATGTGGGTTAGTTCCCTAGCTGGGGATCAAACTCAGCCTCTCTCTGTGGGCCTTCATGGTGGTAACGCTGCGACTGAACCACCAGGCCACCATGGAGGTACACTTTTCTCCAATTTGAGTTGATTATTTATTATACCTTTTTTTTATGCATGTAAGAACAGGGCCATAGGCTAATGGGCAAGCAGATTCAGTAGAATCATAGCAGGGCGCAGAGCAGTCAGATCTATTGAGATACACTGCTGAGGGGAGCAGCAGGCGAGACAGGAGAGGTCTGCTGCAGGATGTGGGATAGCTCCATGGCTGGGGATCAAGGTCAGTGGCTGGCAATAGCTTGATAGCCCTGAAACTTAAACCTCTACGCCACCGGGAGGCCCCATTTTGAGTAGAATTTTATGTGTGTTGTGTGGTAATAATCTAGTTTCATTCTTTTGAATTTAGTGGTACAGTTTTCCCAGCACTGTTTATTTAAAAGATTTTCCTTTTCCACTGTGTAATCTTTGTTCCTTTGTCAAAGATTAGTTGGCCATATATGTATGGCTTTATTTCTGGGTTTTCAATTCAGTGTTATGTTTTCTAGAGACTAGATTCCCATTATGATTTTGCCAAGAGAAGCACGTAATTGCTCTGTATGGCTCACTGAAACCCAGTGAGGTAGCTGAGGGCACCTGAAGTCACTTATTCCATTATGGCCATGCTATGTTCCCCTCACAGTAACATGGTGCTTGTCAGATCTCTCCTTGGCAATGGCTGTGGATTTTACATTCATTTATCACAATCTATGTTGTGTTGCTTTAGGAATATGTGAGTATAGTGCTGCCTAACCATTCCTCTAGTACTAGAATCCCTTGATCACACTCGATTCAATTAGTGATCCTAACAGAATTGTTCAAAATGACTATATTTGTAATTTTTTCATTCTTTCAGCATTTGTGGCTGGGATCAATCTGTGATGAAATCTATGCCATATATTTTTTAAAGTTTTACTTATTCATACAAGAACTGGGGTACAGGCCAGAGATGTGGGGGGTGA